CCATTTGTGTAATTTGAAACTTGGGCATTCAACATTAAAAATACGCTCACACCTATTTCAGGCACATCCATACCTATTCATTCCATAATCATACTCTCTTCTGTACGTTGTTGGATGGTCAAATGGTCAAAGTAGACCAAATTCTGTGTCTATAAATAAAACCGTATTCATTGATTTTCATTCTCTCTCCCTCTCTCTCGCTCTCTCTCTCTCTCTCTCTCTCTCTCTCTCTCTCTCTCTCTCTCTCTCCACTCAATCACCTCACGCTACTTGTGATCTACTCTTAATCTCTCTCTCTTTCTTTTTCTCTTTCTATCTCTATCTATCTATCTCTCTACTTACTCACGTTCACGTCACTTGTGAGCTACTTTTACTTTCTCTGTCTATATCTCTCTCTCTCTCTCTCTTTCTCAGTCTCTCTCGCACACTCACTGACGTTTACTCACGTGGGTCACTCTCTTACTTTTTATCTTTCTCAATCTCTCTCGCTCATTCACTCATATTCTCACTCACTTGTGCGCTGCTCTCTCTCTCTATCTATCTCTCTCTCTCTCTCTATCTATCTATCTCTATCTCTATCTCTAACCATCTCTCTCTCTCTCTCTCTTTCTCTCTCCACTCACTCACGTTCACGTCACTTAGGAGCGACCCTTTCACTCTCTCTCTGTCTCTCTCTCTCTTTCTCTCTCTCTCTCTCTCTCTCTCGCTCATTTATATTCACACTCACTTGTTCCCCAATGTCTCTCCCACAAGTGATCTACTCTTAATCTCTTTCTCTCTCTCCCTTTTTTTCTCTTTCTATCTCTATCGATCTATCTATCTCTCTACTCACTCACGTTCTCGTCACTTGTGAGCTACTTTTACTTTCTCTAACTCACTCTCTCTCTCTCTCTCATTTATACTCACTTGTGCCTTACTCTCTCTCCCAGCATCTCTCTTTTTCTTTCTTTCTTTCTCTCTCTTCCTCGTTCCCACACGCGCGAATACACTCAATCTAATCACATTCACACAAGTAAAAATAAGGAACCAAACAACAGTATAATAAATATGATGGCTATACTGGATATACTGTACGAACGTAGGTAAAGTCTGAGAATAGGCACTGCTCGTGTAACAATGGAACTGTACAATAGCTCGTTAACACGTAGTTACGTTTTAGGATTGATTTAAATCATTTTTATTTAGGAACTAAAACTTAGTAATGAATGGTTTTATACGTAGTTTTCTGGTTTTCTTATGAAGGCGCAATCAAGATTGGACATTTATTACAACGTATACGAAATAATTAATAAATAATAGTGAAACAAAAAAAACAACAATTATAATTATATTATTAATAAGTTAACAGCAAAAATATAAACCAAACAAAATTTGGAAGTCAATAAAGGGATGAATTTCCTTACTACAGAGGGAAAATGATCAAATATATATTTATGTATCATAAGATAATTTATTATTTCAATTCAAAACAAGTGTTTTGATGATAATCTAATTGTAGGCAGCCCAAATCCCCACGGGGATAGTAAGGCCACCAAAATTGTCCTGTCGAAAATGACCCAATGTTTAAGGGACCAACAGGATAAAATGGAATTGACCATTTTAGCATCTGATTCGAATCATTATTGCAACAGTATTTTAACTATTCACAGATTGTTTGTTCCATGCGAAAACAAACTCGTAAAGTATGTGACTACCGAAGCTAAAATTAAACGTTTTCAGGAAAAGGAGTGACATGGTGCAACGCCATTACAACCTTCAATGCACCAACTTTTTTTCTTTCTTCGAATGCACGTTGAAATTTTAATTATATTTACTGTAAAAGTTAAATTTTGCAAATATTTGTGTTATTATTAGTGTAAAATAGCTATGGTATTGATACAATGTACACATTTCGTATATCATAGTTGATTTTACGCGAATCAGAGCTTTTTTGTCTAATGTAGTTGGTAAAAGGGAAAATATTAAGCAGAATTGTTTTTAAATTTAGGGCGAAAATTACGCAAGAACAATATTATAAACAGCCCCTTATAGAATTTATATATGGTGTTCTATTATCAATGATAAATCTTTGGCCTTTTCCTGTTTGTTTAATATTCAACACTCCGTTGCACGTATAAACAACTTCATAACTATGAAAATAGGAAAAAGCACGAGGCAGGCATGCCGAAAGTTTTGATTCATTTTCTATTTATAAAACGGGCAGCGTGCCGTTTCGTAGTAACTGTCCCGGCTTCCCCAGTCTTGTGACTACAAGAGGCGAATGGTCAAATGAGCTGCCCTCGGGTTAAATACCAAGTCTTAGAATAGTTAAACGTTCAACGAGGTGTGGCATTCAAAGGACGTTGCCCAAAAAAGGACGGTTTTTTATAAACTTGGTAATTTTGAATGGAGGAAATTGTGAATAAACACAACTGGCTTATTTCCAGTCTGTTCATGCCATTGTTGACATGGCAATGATCCTCTTCATCAAATTGCACTGTAATTCATTAAACTACTTTTAATTTACAACAATAGAATATTTAAATTCATAGATTTACAACTTGTTAATTAATATAAGTAAGCTTAAGTACAATTTGAATATTTTCGATTAGAAGATATATTTTTTTGTGCATTCCGGCCAAGTTGATTGTAATAGTGATAATACTACTATTTATTGTCAATTACGTTAGATCCGTTTCGACCGGCCTGTCTAGTCTAGCTGTTTTATCTCACGAGACATTTCGGCATCTCGCCATCTTCAGTTGAAGTATCAAACTTGACAGACACCAGCTGGGTTGTTCAAAGGATGAAGGAAAAAACCTTTCCTCATACTCGGGCCCGTCATTTTAAAAATGCATCAAGTAATAAAATTTCATGGAAAATATGAAAAATAAATCATCGAAAGAAGATTCAGTTACAAAACTATCAGTTTGGTTGAACAAGCCAATAGGATTTTTTTTCAAACCTGTCAAATACGAAATAAAAGTCCGGGCCTAATAGTGTAATAAATAAAATTGTCCAACTTTCAATTTGATAGTCTTATTATAGTTTTTTAATGTCAAATGAGTCCTTTTTAATTTCAACTTAAACTTTTTTTATTTCAAATTAACACTTTTTTAACTGCAAGTTACTTTTTTAAATTTCAAATGTATCTTTTTTAAGTTCAAATTAGCCTTTTTTATTTCAGATTAACCTTCTTTTAATTTTAAATTAAATTTTTTAATTTCAATTTGATCGGGGAGTTGTCTGTCATCACCTCTGGTTGATAGTCTTATTATAGTTTTTTTTAAATGTCAAATTAGCCCTTTTTAATTTCAACTTGACCTTTTTTTATTTCAAATTAACTCTTTTTTTATCTGCAAATTAACTTTTTAAAATTTAAAATAAATCTTTTTTAATTTCAAATTAGCATTTTTTACTACCTATTAACCCTTTTTAACTTTAAGTTAATCTTTTTTAATTTCACTAATTTCACATGGACCCTTTTTAATTTCAAATTGACCCGTTTTAACTTCTAGATTAATTCATCCTTTTTTCCATTTAAATTTCAAATTAAGTTTTTTCTATTTCAAATGAATCTTCCTTAATTTCAAATTAACCTTTTTTATTTCAGATTAATTCTTTTAAATTAACCCTTTTTAATTTCAATTTGATGCTTTTTTAAAATTGACCCTTTTTACTTCCTATTAACCCTTTTTAACTTTAAATAAACTTATTTTAATTTCACATAGACCCTTTCTAATTTCAAATTGACTTATTTACATTCAAGATTAATTCGGCCTTTTAAATTTCAAATCTACCTTTTTCAATTTGAATTGAATCTTTATTAATTTCAAATTAATATTTTTATACTTCTTTTTTTTATTTAAAAAATCTCTCGACTTAATTGAAGAATCATGCTTTTTATATTTAATTTTATGTAACTTTTAATTTTCATTGTAATTAATTTTCTTGTGGTATTTTAGATTTAAAAAAATATATTTTACAACAATCAAATTTAAAAAGAGGAATCCTTTGTTTTTACATTTAACTGTTTATAATTTTTAATTTCAATTTTAATAAATTTTCATATGGTCTAAGAGCCCAATATTTTATATTAAAAAAAATCGCAAATGTACAAGAATTTTACTTATATTTCATACCATCCTCAAAAAAGGCTACATTTTAAGTAAAAAAGTAAAAAGTAAGTAAAAGTAAAAAATTCGAAATTAAAAAGGTTAATTTGAAGTAAAAAAATGGTTAATTTGACGGAGAAAGCTAAATAGCACTATTGCTAGCTTGGCTTATAGCAAGTAAATAAACAAAATGGCAAATAATTAAAGCGAAAATGTACCAATACTGGTAATAAAAATAGAAATATAATATTGGAAATTATTTATTTATGAACTATAAGAACAGTGATAACAGAGCACGCCAAAGAAAACAAGGACTTGATGACAGTGTTCAGCATTAATTAAAATGGTAAAAACAGTATTAAATGTCTAGTTAAATCAATAAAAATGAATCAATTTCTGTTTTATAAAATATTTTAGCGTGTTGTTGAACAAGAATGGACAAAACAGACGACATTCACACCATCCACAACCAAGCCTCATCATGTAAAACATATTAAACTATGATATTTAGTTTAAATAAAAGTTTGTCTTTTAAACAGCTCAGTGCATCCGGGTCGGCTCCAAATTGACCAAAATATTGCAAGAATTTTTTAACTGAAAAACTATGGATAACTAGTTACGGACCATTGGGAAGATTAACGGAGCAGAATTACGGTTGGGACGGAAATAAATTAAATCCGAGAAACTTTGCCAATCCCGGTTGATAAAATATTAACGGAAACTTGAGATATTAAACTATTAAGTAAACATTATTTGAAACGGCCCGTTGGTTTATTTAATAAACAGTTAACTTTCTTCTTCCTAATCAAAAGCACCATTTAGAACCAAAGTACTTCTTGTGTATTGTGAATAAGGAAAAGTAAAATATATTTTTAAAAAAAAATCGTATAATAAAAATGTCCTTACATCTCCTTGTTCGTTCCCTGCGTAAAGTCTGCCCTGATCTGAGACAACCTTTATGATTTCGGACTGTTGGTTTTCCAGAAGATTTTTTTTCAAATCCCAGGTGCCGATGTTCCACGCTTTAAGAGTGCCATCGTTGGAACAAGAATAAAGCGTATCTCCGACGACAGCGACGCTGTAGACGTTCACAGGATGCGCGTCGATGGACGCGACTGGCTTCAAATCCGAGGTCCATATCTGAAAAAAAAAAAAATTTAAAAATTGTCTATATTCGTTGTTTAAGTTGTGAAGATCGTGATAGAAAGGAAAGATTAATAACAAGGTTACAATTTTTAAAAATGAACCGACTAATCAATTCGCCATTTTCAAAATCTAAGCAGTGAAGACAAACAGTAACATATCGGGGAAACTATTGCTCTTTCTCTATTTTCTTAATTGAAAGTTAAAAGTTGCATGGCAGAAGTGATTTTTCAAAACGTCACCCTTTCGGTTCTTGCCAAGTTAACTCAAGACCCATTCATTAATTATAAAATTCCTAGTTTTCCTGTACAAGCTGTTTACTATAATTGGAAGTGAAGATCGTTAAGAGAAAACACTGTCGGCACTTCCGTTTGCTTTCTGGTGAAGAAAAAGCATCACGTTTGTCTATCAGGTATTTTTAGTAGGAAATTATAGGAGATTTTTACCACGGTGTTAGTTTCCTTCCGGAAAATGCCCGATAAGTGACTCACTGTTGAATATGAGCCAATTTTCTCCCATTTCATCCTAACCGGTTATGTAACGGAAAAATAGATCAAAACGTTTACTCGATTCGGTTCAAATACGGTTTACTTTTAAGGGGTGAAATTCAACAAGACAGTTTTAATTAAGAAAAACCCTTGCCTGCACTGCAGGCTTCTTCGGGAAGTTACATCTAATCAGAGGTACTAAGAATCTCAAAAGAAGATTTGAAAAGGATAAAACTTGAAAATTTATGATAAGAACCAAGAAAATCGTAATTACAACTGGATCTTGTCAGATCCAATGGACATCTTAAGAATGGGCAGACTGCAAAGAAGCAAAAGAAACCCCGACATCTAAACCACACCTATAGAAAATTATTAGCAAGTCCTGTTTTTTCTAAGAACAATACGAAGATTATTCAGTTTTTATGTCGATTATTATCACTGTATTTTAATATTTAGTTTGTCGCGTTGAGAAGGAATCCAAGATTAAGATCCAATAAAATCACATTGAAGAATCAGGATCATGCATATTCTCGCCGGCCCAGGTCGTAATTTCTCCTTCTTCAGGGGTTTGCCTGTGCGTTGTTTAGTCAATCAATGCTTTTTTTGACGAACTTATGAAAGAGGACATGGCTGACAAACAGTGAAAGTGAGAACAGGACTAGGAAGATCGTAAGCACAGGATCACAACTTCACAGATTAAAAAGCTTATAGATAACAGAAAATTTTAACCGCAGAACCAAAATCTAATTTATTCAAATTGAGTTCTAACTTGTTAAAATAAAAGGAACAAAACAGTTATAAATTCTTCAACTAACACAGGAACAATAAAAAAATATCGCTTTTTTCCGTCAAATTTTCCTTTTTCAATGTCAAATTGACCCTTTTTTTTTACTTCAAATTAAACGTATTTACTTTCAGATTGGCCCGTACTAACTTCAAATTAAGCCTTTTTAATTTCAAATTAAACTATTTTATTTAATTAATTAATCTTTTTCATTTCGACCAAAACCTTACATAAAAAAATTAATTAATCGAAACAAGTAATTTGCTCAACAGACCACTACATATATTATTTAATTTCAAATTGACTCGTTTTAACTTCAAATTAAGCCTTATTAATTTCAGATCTTTAAAGAATTAACAAAACATATATGGTAGGAAATGTAAGCGTGTTAATAACATTCCTGTATATTTGCGAATTGTTTAAAAATATAAAATAATTGAGCTCTTAGAAGATCAAGTAAAAATTGAATAAACTGAAAATTAAAAACTATAAAATTAAATATAAAAAGGATTGTTCTTTTAATTTAAGATTAAAAAAAATATAGGATGGTTTCTTATTTAAAATATTGGGTTGTCCGGAAAATAATGCAGGATTTTGGTATTAAACAAAAAAAAAGAAACTAGTTACTTTAAAGCAATGTTCTTTAATCAANGTAATCCTGTAAACGTAAACAGAATATTTTATATAGATTTTTTTAATGAAAACTTAAAATCCTGCATTATTTTCCGGACAACCCAATACTACATGAAAATTACTTCCATTTAAAATAAAAAGTTATATAAAATTAAATCTAAAAACAAATCTCTCTTTCATTCTTATATTAATTCTAGACTTTTTAAATAATAAAATAATTGGCCAATACAATAATTATCTTATATTTTAAGAACATATCGAATTAATAGAAGGTCTTTTGGTTTTATATTTAATTTTAAATAACTTTTAATTTAGATAAAAGTTCATTTTATATACATATATTTTTTTTAAATTCTCAAATTAAAAGAAGAACCTTTTATTTTGAGATTTAATTGTAATTGAAATCAATTTTCATATGGTGTTATAATAGTCCAATCATTTTATACATTTTTAATTTAATTAATTAAACAAAATTTTTAAATATATAGGAATTTTACTGTACATGATTATATATTTATTATTTTATACTTTCTCCTAAGTTTATTTACTGCGTTAAATAAAGAGTTAATTTGATGGAAAAAAGGTTAATTTGAAATTTAAAAAATTCAAAAGGGTTAATTTGACGGAAGAAAGCTATATAAGATTATACAAATATACGAAGGTTTATTTTACTATTTTTATTGTCTTTCCAGATATTTTTTTTTAATGAAAAGTGTGAAATGTAAAAATTTGCTCAAAGAAGAAAAACCCAGAACACTTGTATTTTTTTAAAAATTTCAAAATATATTTATTTATTTTTATCGTTATAATACTTATAACATACTTATTTTAATATAAACCAAATCAAACGACACCAGAAATTCATGTTTTAATTTAAAAAAATATTTAATTATGATGGTTTGAAATAAAATTCACCAAATAGCCGGAAAATTATTTAGTGACAGATTAAAATTTAACTGTTTATTTTATCAGTTTTTTACGGTGTTTTTGTGAATTTTCTTCCAAACCAGGTTAATTTAATATTTTTTTTAATGAAAATTCATAACCTTTCGATTTCGTAATTAAAACAAGTATGTTGTGACTAATAAAAATATAAAAATACTTATAGTTCGAAATAAACGACAAAATACGGGTATCTAGTTTTTTTAGTCTTTGAGTATATTCTACTTAATTTCTGCACCCTCAGGGCTAAACTAGAAATGTCAAAAAACCCAAATTTTCTGAATAGCTATTTTATTTAAAATTCAGACCTTTTTTTGGTAGAAATTGAATTTTCTTCGTGCATTTTTTTAAAAAGTTTTTATTGTGCTTACAATTCATCAAGTTCACATTTTTTATTTAAAAAATTATACGGTCTACCAAGGGTAAAGACTTACTGGAATTCGTATTTAACTAATTTTTCTCAAATTTGACTCTACCAATGACATAAAACGTCAAAATATTCAGTTCAAATGTGACGCAAAGTATCAAACTGGATCAAGTCTACATGTCTTATTTCTTAGCAGCGTTTTATGGACTTCTGCATGATTTTGGATAGGGAAAAAAGATATTTATACTTAACTGTTATTTTTAATTTTTTAAAGAATTTAGAAGCTAATAAAATTTTGTTAAACCACTGAATCCATTATTTCTTTTGGTTTTAACAAAGATTCTTAATTCTCTTTAAAAATACAATTTTGGAGTCTCTTAGATGGATATAAAATATGATATTTTATGGTTTTTTTAAACAGAATTTTTGAGAAAAATCATCCATCAATTTTAGCAGAGGAATACTTCGCAGATCTATTTTCCCTCCTCGACTGACCTTTATCTTTCCGTCATCGGCGCCGCTGATGAGTAGGCCGTTGTTGTAAAGCAGGCAGACGACGTCGTTGGCGTGCTTAGCCTCATCATCGGTCAACTTAGCGAACAACTTCAACGACATTTCGACCAATTCGACAACGAAGTATGCGAGCGACTGGCCGTCCCGTTCGAAAACCGCTCTAAGACTCGAAGGCTTTCAGGCACAACTGAGCCTCGAGAGGAGTAGAGACGCTTTTCTATTTTTAAATACCTAGCGGGAGATTTATTCGAATTATCTTGCATATAATATTTTTAGAGGCTATTACTATTTTTAGTCAGTACCCCTTATTTGATACTGGTTTTTTTCTCGAAATCGATATCGTAAATATTTATATATTGCAGGTTATTCCACAGGTGATCTTTTCTTAAGGAAATAATATATCTTTCGTTTGGAAACTTTATAAAATGCATTATTTTAAACAGATTTTATGTATTTAAAAATATTAAATAGAAGTAAACAAGTACTTGGTAGTTATTTTATAAATTCGCCGTTCACTTGTAAAAAAACCCGGGTTCCGTCTCCTAGGGGCAGCGCTCAGGTCGGACTTGCCAGCTTTGCCGTTTGCCGCCGGTTTTCCGAGGCCGAGGTTATATCTTTGGTACTTAATACTTGGTACTTTGGTAGTTGACTTTGTAGACGTATTTTTGACAAAATGAAAAGTGTTGCGGGCTCAGAAATTTCCACGAATACAGAAGATTCCGACGACGGGATTGTAAGTGAGACATGACTTTCTGAAATCGGCTCTCTCTCTTCTGAATTTCACTTTGTTTATTATCACTTGTTTGCTCTTTGTTTATCTTTCCCTCTGTTTGTTTGCCTGTCTACAATATTTTTCTTTTTAATTGTTCCTATCCTAAGAGTGTAGATAGTCTAAAAATCTAAAAAAATTATTGAATTTTAAATAAACGTTATTTTTTCTTTTATGTTTATATTGATTTCTATTATAAAAATATTTACATAACAAATCTTTAATTTATCATAATAACATACTCAGATCAACATATGCATGTATATGTGAATAAATGTGTATAAATATTTAAAAAAAACATCAACAAAACAATATAGTGTTAATAACTGATTACTGATTTTTATAAGCTCAAATCAGTACATACGTACACGTGTAGAGTTGTGATTATCACTTATCATGGTCCACTGGAAATCCCAACTTTCGTAATTTGAAATAAATTATCGGTAGGCCTGGAAAATCACCTGCCTCGGGCATTGGCAGTCCGGGGTCAGACCTCTTATCCTTCCACTGAGGTTGGTTTCCAGGGACTATCAACATCTTTTGTTTGCTTTATTTTTTTAGTATCTTGTCATTGTATAAGATGTAATACACCTTTGAAGACGAGCTGAAGTATCAGGTCAACTCGAGTCAAAACTGGGACTGCACCGCACAGCAAAAACTTTTTACGACTGCTAACTAATAAATGAACTACTGCTCCGCCGTACTGACCTGCCAGTGCCCCCGCCACCATGGACCCAACCACAAGGAAGCAACAATCCCATCTTCGGTTGCGCTATAGATGATAATTCTGATATATTTAAATTACATTTTTTTATAAATTTAAATATCAATTTGTAAATCAACAAGTTTCTTGAAGCCATCATTGTTTCAAAGTTGAAGGCATTGTCAATGACATTACAATCAAAAACTTCTGCTAGGAAATTTTCTCTGATTTTCTGGTATTCCTCGCAAGTTGAATAATTGGGAGATTGTCTCACTTTTATTTTGTAAAGATTCACCACTTATTCCATGACTAATTTGGATTCGTGTCATAATGGTAAAAAAAAATCCCTTACTACAATCTACATGTAAATACCAGGGTGTTTTATTAACATTAGGGAATAAGCCCCTGCAGAAAGACCACTTTTTAGCTGTACCATAAATAGATGGCCACTTTTTGATCCATAGTTTATTGAATAACTTTTGCTGTTAATTGAGTTTCAGAAGCTTCAAATCTTGAATGCTGCTGAATTGATTAGCATACTTGGCCAATTTGTCCACAGCGTTGTTACTCTTTACTCCACTATGGCCTCATACCCAACAGAAAACCACATTCTTGCTTTGTCAGCTGAGATCGAAAATTCTTTAATAATTTCGCAAAGCTAATAGTCTGGCTTTGAGTTGTATCAACATCTAGGTTATTTATAACTAATCTAATTGAGGGTTGATGTGGTGCTCATTATTCCGCCATTGACCTCACACTACACAATCACACTAAAGGTAGTCACTAACATAACCATTCATGCTCAATATATACTAAGAAACACAAGACGAGATTACTATAAAGTACTGTATGCAATAAAACAACAGGGGACCCAGATACTCGCTACCGTTCTCAAGCACAATTGTCAAGGAATTGCACCCTTTAATTAGGTGGGGCACATTCTCTACATGCAGGACGTATGCATGCTTTAGCCGAAAAGTAAGTGTCTGGGTGTCAGCCTCTTATGGCCTAGCCTTAATCAGATGAAGATGATCCTTAGGCTTCAGGGTCAGATCCTCCATGGACACCCTTCAATCTCTTCATCCTCGACAACTTCTCTGCCGATTTGGCCCACCAACATTGCCATATTCTTTTAATGAGTTTTTATTACATTTGTAGCATCAGAGGGTCAAATTGAGAATAAAGAAGCTCATGTAGTTTACATTTGTAACTTTTTGTATATACCATTTTTTCTTAACTGTTATTTTATTTTAATTACCTGTCATTATGAGATATTTTATTGTGAAGTTGCATCGTTGCTGCCACATTGTTTTAATCATGTTTTTCTCTTGCAATTTTAGCGTCAGGGAACTAGATCATGGTGGTTAAGTCCGGAGGTTGAAACATCCTGGTCTTAGCCACATAGTGTAAATATGTTAATATATATACAATAAATACAGTAAATAGGTAAAACAATGGATAAATCCTTGACAATGAACAAAAATATAAATAAAAAATTAAATTAGTAGCTTGTGTTATTTATGGGGAAAAATTATTCATACACTTCATTTTTTGGCAATTTTTTTCAAATTTTATTTCGTAATTAAGTCCTTCTTTTGACTATAAACTAGACAATTCAACAATATGTCTCAAGTAATTATTTGTTAAAAATAAAACATATTTAACTGCCAAAAAATTATCCATACATTTATACACTGATTGGAAAAACCGTTTTTTAAAGGATTATTGAGCTATTAAAAATTAGGCGAAATTGCAAGTGAATAAATTTTTAATTATTATTTTTATCTACTAAAAAAGGTCAAATTACCAATGAATAAGATAAAAAAATTTAAACTATTATTTCTATCAGTTGAATCAATTTTGGATCTTTTAAAGAAGGGTCGAAAATCAGCAGAATTATATTATATTCGAAAGACAAATTGCCTTATTGCAGCAAGGTTTAAGCTATCACCAAATCGAGAAACAACTTAAATGTTCTCGTTCAACCAGCCAATATATGATTAAAAAAGTTTATAGTTTTAAACCTGGCTCTATAGATAATGTAAAATGATCTGGGAGACCAAGGAAAGTTTCGACAAGGCAAACATGTGAATTGGTTAGACATGCTTAAAAAAAAATCTTACAATTATGTGCATGAACTCACAGAAGGCCTTGCTTAATCATTTAAGGCTGGCCCTTTTTATGCCACAAATTATTGGTAACCTCATCCCTCTTGAATGTAGTTGGATTCAAATATAAAATAGCCAGGGAAAAACCTTTTGTGTGTAATAAAAATAGGTCAAATTTTGCTAGAGAACATGCCAATTAGAAATAAGGATGTCACTTTTAGCCCAGAAGAATATTATCCAGGTGCATTTACTTATGCATACAACAATACAATAGACATTATATATGTAAATAATATAATACACAAAAAATAGCACACTGGGGGAGTTTAATTTCTGTTCTATTCAGCCTGGTGGAAATTTTGGTTTACAAATACAAATTTGAAAGAATTAACAAGATGTAAATAATATGTAGTATTTGTTTCTTTTTCTTTGTTCTATTTGGGAAAGTTGCATCAGGCCGAATTGTGCTTTAATGGGCTACATTCAGAACGTTCTGTAAATCAAATTATTTGAGGAAGTTGTTGCAAAAAATTTTTATCGGTTCCGCGACCAATTAATTTTCTATTGGTTAAAGTGACAAATAAATAAATTGGTGATTGGTTGGACAATGTTTTGTTTTTTAAAAAACAATGTTTGGAAATAGGTTTTTGTGTGCATACTTAGAATGATGGTTCCAACTTAAAAACTGTTTGCACTATTGAATTCAGTGCCAACAAACCTTTCAAAAATGTACACTAAATAAATCTTACTATTTGAAATAATTAAGCTTCCAGTAGAAATGATTCGAAGTGGGGTGAGTACTTTTTTTCCAAAAAGTGAAGTAGATTGTAGTTAATCTTTCTATTCGTAACTTCTATCCTGGAGAGCTAGATCAAAATATTAAATGTTTCCCAAAAATGCCTCAATAAAATAAAATATAGAGGGAACAGAAGTAAAAATCACTTCTTCATAGAGTGATAGACTTAAAACAAAGTGATATTTTATATTTCAACAGAAATAAAGTCAAGTAATTCCTGTAATAAAGGAGGGCTTAGCGTCCAACTATGTGTCTCATCAGTTACAAGGGATGAATAAAATGCATCTTGAATACCAAACAATTTGCTTAATTATTTGTTCTCATTTTCATTGGCTTTAAATTATAAATTCAGGGTATAGACAAAATGTGAGGAGCTGGGCAATAGCATGGCTAGATGGCCAAAAATAAAAATCTGACAAANTGAAAAAATGATAATGACATATTATTAAATAATAAATGACCAAGGTTTGTAAATTAATAGAATTTTTCAGTATATACCGTTAATTTACAGCGAAACGGGGCCGTCTCAATGCCTAAACCGTTGTGGCAACCGATGTTCCACTACTGTGCTTTAAAAGTTGAAATCTGCTGACAGGCCACATATTATTCTTTGTGGCACTAATTCCTTATTTATTTTATATTATTTGTTATTCCCTCCGAATGTAGCCCAAGTCTAATAGTGAATTTTGTTAGTATTAAAAAAAATTATTTGCATTTTATTACCCTGAAAGTATGTTTCAATAATTCCTATTAAGTTCTTTTGACTTTTCATTATTCAGTTAATTTACCATTCAATGATCTTAATTTGAACAATCATGACAGTTGTACCTACGTATATTTTTTTATAGGCCACCCATTTCTACTAGTACATTTTATTAGAATTATTTCACGATTCTGTTAAAACTTGCGCTTTTAGTAGTAATGTTTCAACTAATTATTATATTTGCACTCTGTAGTGATATTTAAGAGTAATATTTGGTAATATTTTCAGGATGAGACATCAAGTATAGGTAGTACAACTACTGACAACAATTCTTCCCGTAGTGTCACTCCAACGGCCCAGCCTAGACTTAGACGAGGGAGAAGAGGACGACCGAAGCCTTCAAAGCCGAAGCTACAGTACAAATATACGTACGTTTAATTTAATCCAAACAAGAATTTTGACAAAAGAATTCAATTTTCTTTTATTTAAAATAGGTGTAATGTTAAAGAAGAACATGGGTGTCCATTGTTTGGAGCGCAGATAAATCAACTTCTTAAAGCAGGGCAATCTTTGATTTTTGCGGCTGTAGGAAGTAATCGTGTTACCATTTACGAATGTCCAGAAAACGAGGGAATAAACTTGTTACAATGCTATGCTGACCCTGATGTATCCTTCAATTATAAAAATTTCTGTTTATTATTTATATTTTTTATTATTCAGCGTGTATTAGTATTTAAAATTTAAATCAATTGCAAAATAAATCCTTTACTGCTGATAGACGGATGAAATATTTTATACTTGTGCCTGGTCCTATGAAGATGAAAGTGGAAGGCCTTTATTAGCTGTCGCTGGTTCAAGAGGGATCATCAGGATAATTAGCCCTTTTATGATGTCCTCAGTCCGACACTACATAGGTACAAATTTTTTAAATGAAACTTCCAAAACTATTTATTTAATAAGATTTCAAGAATTTAGGTTAATTTATTATTCATTTTTTCAAACAGTCGTATAATTGTACTGTTTTAAAAATAAAATTTCATTCTTAATTATTATATATGAACAATTTTAAACAAGATGCAATTGTCTTGTTTGTTAAGGTCATGGGCAGGCGATAAATCAGCTTAAGTTCCACCCGCAGGATCCCAATATTTTAATGTCAGTGTCAAAAGACCATACTCTGCGGCTTTGGAATATAAAAACGGATGTTTGCATTGCCATATTCGGCGGGGTGGAAGGACACAGGGATGAAGTTTTAAGTGCCGTATGTTAAGCTGTCTAAATAAATTGCAAAATTTGATAACACTCAAAATGTTCATTTTAACAGGATTTCGACTTAAAAGGAGAAAGGATAATGTCTTGCGGAATGGACCATTCGTTAAAACTTTGGAGGCTTGATAAAGACTACGTGCAAGAAGCTATGAAAAGCTCTTATCAGTTTAACGCAAGCAGGAGCGCCAGGCCTTTTGACTCAATAAAGGAACATTTTCCCGACTTCTCAACACGTGATATCCACAGAAATTATGTCGATTGTGTTCATTGGCTTGGTGACTTTGTTCTCTCAAAGGTATTGCTAAAAATTTTTGCTTTATTGTGGGAAATTGTGATGAAGTCAATATATTTAGTACAATTAATTAAGGTTTTTAGTTGAGATAAAAAAGTCAATGGCACGAGCGGGATTCGAACCCATGATCTTCGGCTTGTTATGCTGCTGCTCTACCACTTGAGCTATCGTGATCTCGATCCACTCGGACACCAACTTCCCATCTCGGGATCCCGCTCGTTATCTCAATTAAAAACCTTAATTAATTGTAATATATTAATTGGTCAAGCGGACCACGAAATTAGTGAATTTAATGATTTAATATGAAGTATACTTCACTAAAGCTCTCCGTGGCCATTTCATTTGTCGCCGAGAATCCAATCCGATTACACGACATTTGAAAAATGGCAAAAAGGAGGGAAAATTCAAAAGGTGGGGTTGAGATGGGAAGTTAGTGTCCGAGTGGATCGAGGTCACGATAGCTCAAGTGGTAGAGCAGCGGCGTATCTAGCCGAAGATCGTGGGTTCGAATCCCGCTCGTGCCATTGACTTTTTTATCTCAACTAAAAACCTTAATTAATTGTAATATATTAATTGGTCAAGCGGACCACGAAATTAGTGAATTTAATATATTTAATGTTGGTCAGGGATTTATCTCATTTAGGACACTGATCATGATATGATGCTCACCTCTACTTTACTCTGATACTGCAAGTGTGATATCGCATTCTAGTCTCTTTGCCTTAGAGTGAAGTTCAAGGAAGCAGGGTATTGCTTAAATTGGAAAACAGTGGCATTATGTTTTCTAAATTTCCCTCTCTTACCAGCCCTAAAAATAATAATTTAAACAGCACACTGCTTCTATGAACTTAAATAAAATGAAGATAGTAAAGCTTCATATCACGCTCTCAGTACCTCGAATGAAGAGCGCTAACTGTCCTGAATGTGTTAAGAAGGAAAATACAAGGCACTGATTCCATCAAGTTGTCCAAAATTTGTAAAAATGGAAGTATTTGCGCTTTTCCTCTTTTTACTTATAATCCTTACCAACACAAAGGATTACAAAATATCAACATTTATAGATAAAACTGCATGGATATGCTAGAAGCTACACACTTATTTATTATATCAATTTTTATTTTTTAGTCTTGCGAAAATTGTATTATATGTTGGAAACCAGGGAAACTCGAAGACAAAGAACTGCGGAACAATGAAACCAACGTGACAATAATTCACAGATTCGACTTTAAAGAATGCGAAATCTGGTTTATAAGGTTTGCCTTGGATTTTGCCCAAAAGGTAACGATCAAAAAATTAACAACAAAAACAAATGCGGATCTAAATAAATGAGAAACATTTGTAGGTTTTAGCAATGGGGAATCAAGTAGGAAAGACTTTCGTGTGGGACTTAGATCAGACTGACCCGACTGGTAACCAGTGTGTTGTACTTTCCCATCCGAAGTGCACGTCTGCTGTAAGACAAACGGCGCTATCAAGAGATGGTTCAGTCCTAATCTGTGCCTGTGATGATGGAACAATCTGGCGTTGGGACAGATTACCATAAATGTTGTAAAAACCTATTTATTAATTAGTAAGTAAAAGAAAATATCAAAATATATCGTTTATATTGCTAAAATCATGTACAATTTATACTATTTTTATTAGTAGTTTTTTTATTAGTAGTTTTTTTAATGTATTAGACCATGTGCTTTAGTAAGGTAATTGTTCTGAATTATTTAATGGCTATTGTTGATTTTTATTTCAGGTTTGTCATCTTCTAGATAACTGTAAATATTATCAACATAACATTTATGTAAGTTTCCAAATTTTACCATAAGCACAAAAAATTGCAATGAGAATTGTCCAAGATCATTCCAGTTTTAAATCAACAGTTCACATTTATTTTCCTTGTTATTGTGTATTAAAGAAAAATAATGTATTGCAACTTTTGTATTTTTATATCAAAAATTAAATTAAACTTTGCTTATTTCATAATTTGTAAATTTAAGCAAATTTATAGCTAGTCTGTATTAAATTTTGTAAATAATTTTAATAAAATGATAGTAATTGTATTGTTTTTTTTTATTTGTTATTGAAAATTAAGTATGCAACAATGGAGAATTTCGTAAACATCAGGGATGTTTGTAGGTCTGAGTTGGAGAAGATTCACTGTCACCTGGTCTAGAATAGACCATACATGGTATACCTTTCTCTCGTGTTGAGTGAAATATCCGATATAAAAGAAAAGTTTCAAGCCTTTGTATTGAGAGCAAGTATGCATAAAGTGTAGTCCACACTGGGAACATCATTGTGGGGCTGACCCTGAACGATGAAAGATATTAAATCGAGCCAGCCACACAACATTGTCACGTCCTTACTGCAAGGGACGATTCGTTTGGCACTATGTCTTTCCGTTGTGCTGTTACTAGCAAAAAAAAGTAAAAGATGGTGGATGTACAAGTTACTAATGAGCCATGCTATGGCCTTGTCACTTAAACTAAAAGATGTCGTTGGATTTGTCATTTTTTTAAGGATGACATCCATTGATTTTGAGCACATTTTATAAATGGTTGTTTGTAATGTTTGTTCCTGTAGTGGAATCCCATGGAACCTAGAAATATCCCAAAAGCATTTGTTTGAAGATTTTCTATTAATTGAAGTGAGCTTGGTTCACATACTGAATTAAAATAAACTTTTACGAAACTGCCCCCTGAACCATGTCCAGACCAGAAATTTTGATCAGACTCAAACATTGTAACATCAGACTCAGGGGCGTATTGCATCTTTGAATCGGAACAGCAACAAAGACTTTCAACTAAGAAAGATGAACTAAGCTTTAGTCTTGATTACTCTTTAAGTGCAGTGGTGAGTCCTGTTCCAATTACTGGAATACAATTGTATTGTGGTTCAGTGGTTGGTCGGTAATATTACTGCACAGTCGGTGGAAAACTAAATAAATCAAAAACCACATCATAATTATGATTTAGACCTTTGGTATAAATTATTCAGAAATTGTGAGATGTGGTCTGGTGTGATTTAGGTTTCAGAAAAACATTTTCTTTATCGTGCCAACGTTTCAATCTTTATTGAAATCATCTTCAGGGCCTGGGATTTACAAACATTGTTTACATTTAAAACAGCAATATCTCACTGGCACTCTCAACAAGACACGCAAGAATGGCACAATTACACAGAAGACAAACACTTCGAGTGAGTAGAAATACTTTGAATATAAAAAATATATTTTGCATTGTATAAATTCACTTTTTTCCACATCCTACATGTATTTGTTAAATGTAAACAATGTTTGTAAATCCCAGGCCCTGAAGATGATCTCAATAAAGATCGAAACGTTGGCACAATAAAAAAAATGTTTTTCTGAAACCTACATCACAACAGACCGCATCTCACGATTTCTAAATAAATACTTCTATTATTCGTGGCCAAAACTAAATTAAAATGCGGAGAAAAAGAGCACACAAAGTCAAAAATTACTCCCAAGACACCACTCAATTGAGATCCCAGCAAGGAGGCGGAGGAGGAGTGATTGGGATGTTTCCTCCTATAAAAATTGATAAACTCACATTTGTCAAGATTAAAAGAAAGTTTATTCCTCAGACACCAAGAGTCAAATCTATTTAAATCCACCTGCAGACGCACATTTTCCTAATCATTATTTACAACAGCAAAAACTTTTGAATTATCTGCCAATAGTAAAAATTCTGAATCTTTGAAACAGAAGGATACATAGTTAATGAACATTAAAAACAAGATTGGACCAAAGTGAGATCCTTGGGGAATCCAGCTTTACCTCTAAATTTTACATTATGATTACCGCATCTCATGATTTCTGAATAATTATCGATTAACGGTCACTAATCACCACACATTTTGGTATAAATTCTATTTTTGTACCAACATTTTTTTTATTATGCTCTTATTTCATACAATTCATTGTAGTTAGTTCTAATTTATCTCATTATATCTTGACTTTTTGGTTCTAATCAAATTATGCACCAACACATCTAATTTTTAATATGAATTTACTTGACTTGAAGCACTTGACTATTATTGCATAGCTACGATTTGCTAGGTGGGTTTTAATGGGTTGTCAAGTTGTATTAAAAACCACTAAATTTTGCAGATGGCAAACCATAATAGCTGCACTAACTCACTTTTTACTAACAAAACAAATGCTAATTTACTTAGATAAAAAAGATCAAAACGAAGTAACTTTTTGAGATGTCTAAGGCATATTGCCTTTAAAAGGAAATGGTTTCCTTCTAAACTTAATCTCTTATAGACTCTGACAAGCCTAGACTTGTGGAATATGCATTTATCTCATTTGGCCAAAATTCAACTATCCAATTTTACCTTTTGGATACAGAATTTTTGTCTATTGTGAAATTTTTATAAGTCTGTGAAATGTCAGGAGCTGGGTTCTTGTTATTTTGATTAGCCTACTTTGATTTTTATGTCTGCTTTTGTTTATCTATGGTTTTATTAACAACTGTACTAGGATTAAAAGGATTAATCAAGCTCAGGATGATTAAGGAAAAAGTTCATCACCTTGCAGTCCTCGACAGTATCACAGTTTGCGTGTAAAAAATATTCAATCAGGGTAACAATTAGGTTTTTTAAACAATTTATAAAACGCTTATTTTTCTGCCTAATATTTTTTTTGTACCTACTAAATTGAGATTTCTTCTTGAGTTTTACTGAGTATTAAATAATTCACTTTCAAACAGATTAATTGCACTATGTGTTTTAGGTAATTTTATTTACAATATTTTTTTCAACATTAAAAATATAAAACTCAACAAAATAAATATTTTACAAATAAACAACATAAATTTGTTCTGTAAATTAAAGCTATCATTTTATCTATTTTATTTCTGTTTTTCTTCTTTTTTCTCTTCGATCGACAGGACTGTCTTTTTAACTTTTTCTTCTTTTTTCTCTTCGATCGACAGGACTGTCTTTTTAACAATGTTGAAAACATTCATTTTTTCTTTCTCTTTCTTCTGTTCAGGTATAAATACGTTAAAATTGCTGAAATAGGTCAAGATATTTTCTGAAAAAAAAAAAAAAAAAAAAAAAATTAACATGACTACTAGGTTGAAGGAAAAATCGATGGAATATTTACAAACCGATATCGTTAATAGGTACGTTGTACTGTTGAGACAGAAAAGCCGGATTGAATTTATGCGGATCTTCTTGGTGGGAAGTGATCATCTTCATAGCCTGACTCAGGGACAGTTTCCCTTCAGGCACAGAATCGGGTTCTAAGTAACTAAATATGTGGTTGCTGTTACATGATCTGCTCACAGGTAGCTTTCTCATCTTCTCCGAGGGCTTGCCATATTTGTTTGCAGGTTGCTGGAAATATTAAATATTAATTTGTGATGATTAAAATAAAGAAAATTATAAAAGCTTAGAAGGGCTTGGTTTGGGTAAATAAAGAACTAGAAACTATTTATTTATATTTGTAGTTAATTAAAATTAAATTTATCAAAATGAAATGGAAAATTTATTACACTGAAAATTTTGATGTGTCATATTACTACTAGTGGAAGCACTAGGCATAAAATACTAATTTGATTAAATTTACCACAACTGGGTCAAAAGACTTGACATAGACTTGTTTTAGGTTTTCATCCAATTGTTCATTCTTCATTAGCAAAGCTTTCTTGATTTTTTGATCTGCAAATAAAGGCTAGTATAAGTTTTCCTTTTTTCATTATTTAAAATTCATTAGGGAAAATGGGTTTTGCACATCCATTTTTCAATTAACAAGAACCTCTTATAAACCAATAACTATAATTTTTGATAGTCATGTACAGCCAAAATTTAATTTTCCAATTGTTTAAATAATCTTCAAAGCTGAACCTTTGTTTGCTTTTAATAAATTTTACCAGCTTCAGTGAGTGGTCTGTGTGCTATTTTGTTAATCATAATTTTTTTTTTTGTGTGTGTGTGTGTGTGTGTGTTGTGTGTGTTCAAGCCAACTTTCACGTCTTCGGACAAAATTGCTCGAATAATTCACAGAACTGCAGAATATTTCTGATGGTCAAATCATGCTAGAAAATACCAGGATGATCAGACAGCAACAGCTTCACAGGTTTATATATCACAGTCCTCAATGCATTACTGTGTCGTGTTGTGAGATATTGTGATTATCTCACTGGCACTCTCAACACGATACACCTACACAGAAAACAAACACTTTGATCCCTGAAGATGATCTCAATGAAAATCGAAACGTTGGCACAATAAAGAAAATGTTTTTCTAAACTTACATCATACCAGACCACATCTGACGATCTCCAAATAATCATTAAAAAGGGAATGTACAAAGAATGGAAAATTTTCTTTAGATCTAATCTGATGCAACATGCAATTTGACCTGAATAATATCGAAAAACTTATTTGGGTAGTTTGGTGTACTTACGGGGGAAAGAATGCAATCTGTATTACTATATTATAATATGCCTTTAATTTTGCTGTATATGGGCTTTAAACACAAATGGATGAAATCATGAAAGATGGTTAAAAATCATGGTGCAAATTTTCTAGTGTGAAAAATCTTTTTCCTCAATATTTCAATTTTAGTTTGAATATAGTTGAGGGTTGTTTAGGCGATGGGTTAATAAATGGTTTTATTTAAATGTCTAAATGCTCGATTTTCAGGCTTTGAACACAAATAAACGAAATTATGAAAGATGGTTTATGTACAGTGGTTAAAAATCATGGTACAAATTTTCTTTTTGCTCAATATTTCAATTTTAGTTTAAAAAAATTACCTGACATTAAATTGTCAATATACTTTGTAGTCGAGGGATGTTTAGGCGATGGGTTGATAGTGGTTTTATCTAAATGCCTAAATGCTCGATTTTCAGCGTTGAACCTGTAGTAGTACTTGGTGAGCCTGGGCCAGACTTGCCCCATTATTTCACAAAGTTTTTCAACCGGTGCGGGTGCTTGGCATTGCCAGAACCGAAGTTACAATTTGAAAAGATAACACTCCACTCTGGTATACCTTCTTGGTCCTACCGGATTCCGGCACCTGGCAAATTTTATATAAATCTCGTTTTTACTCTATATTCTCTCTTTTTATCAATGCCGTAGAAAATAGAAGACGGTTAAAAATGAGGAAATTTTCATTGGAAAGCAGAACCGACAGAAAGTTTTTCAACGTATCAATCCAGTGGACAGTGGAAGCACCCAGACCCAAGGCGATTACTGGGTGTCGGCGATACTGGTACTCTTGCTACGTTGCACCTCGCTTTATTGGTATTTATAAACGTCAAAATAAATATTTGTTATTTAGTCAATTTTCACTCCGTAAAACAATAATGTGCTCGAAGAATAACCAACGTATTAAATAATCACAAAACCACAATATGGTGAGGACTGATTACTTTACTACAACTTACTTGTTTTCCTATTTTAATCGAATTTTATGCAATTCTTGAACAATTTTATGTTGTATTTGTACCATAAATAAATTTATTTCGACCTCCAGAAATTTCTTTGGAAATATTGTTGTTTTAATATTGTTAATTTGACTTTCAAAAGTGATACTTTCATTATTCCATTCTAATCTAATTACATTTGTGATTGTAAAATAGGAGGATAACTGTTTAGATTGATACTCTGTTAACGGAGTTGAAGTTCTGTGTGCTTCAGTCAACATTATAACGTTTAGGGTGCGCACATTTTTTGTGTGGAGGGAAAGTAAGGTTCAAAAATATAACAAACCAGAGATACTATTCATAAGCATATATTTTTTACACTGTATTGTCTTAATATTGGAATAAACAACCAAAAAGACAAACAAGGCAAATCAGCCACAACTTTCAAGTTATAAGATGTAATGTTAATGCCAGCACCACACTAGACGGAATGTGATGAAAAATCCACCAAACCCGAACAAGCCACATATACAGTAGAAATGAACGTAATGACTACGACTGTTTGAATATTCAGAAGATAACATGACTCAATTGATTGTGTACGGTACAATGAAACCACTTTTCGTTTTGTGAATTTACAAGGCAATGGAGAAGCAGAAGAGAAAGAGAGAACATTGGATCCATCCATTGAATATGAAAAGGGTAGCATTTGGTCAATTCTACTGTCTGGATGAAGAATTTTGAAGCTATCCTGCCAAGTTCTTACAATACAATGGATGACTATGGTTTCATTTGACGAGGGTCTTTAAAATCCCACAGACAGGGCCTGTTCTGAACTTCCACATTAAATTGGTCCACGTCCTAGATTAGCTTCACTTCCAGTTTGCCTGACCGACTGCCTGCCTCTTCTGTTCTATGCTTGCCTGTTGTCAGTGTGGCGCACCCCATCTATTTTGCACTTTTTGATCTGTTAGACGGAACCCAGCGGAACATTCTGTTGACGGATGTTGTTGCACCACAGAGCTTGACAGAGACATTATGACTGAAATTGCTTGCTGTGTTTTGAATATAAGCTTGTGCAGCGGAAATTTCTGGCAAAGAAACTTCCATTGCATTCTGTGTAGTGTGGCACTGGTCTAAAAGTAATTGTATCCCCAGTACCTACAGCACACCAGTTCAGAGTTTTTAAAGAAATTTTATTAGTAGGTCCTGGTTTCAGTGGTTCAATCTCTTCTATGGTTATGTTGTATATTCAAAAACTTCCTTCTGCAGGCAAATGTACTGCCACAGTTTATTGATAGGTGTGTTGGTGTCTCCTCTGCTTCCTTGCATAATCTCCATGCCGTTTGGATTATACCAGTCGTCTTCAAATGCCCATTTAGCCTGCACTGTCCTGTTAAGAATTCTGTTAGAATTTGAAGTTTTTTTCCTGCTTCTTTAATGCATTCTGTTGCTTCTTTCCGTCTAAAACTAGAATGTTCTTGGATTGTTTGGGGTCTAATGAGTGAATTCCACAGTTTCCTCATTTTTGTTTTGTCTAAGATCAGTAGTGTGAATCATATGCCATAGAAGGCCCAGGACCTATTAGCATTAAAGCAGCCCCCTTTCTTGCAAGGGGGTCCACTCTCGTTTCCTTGTTCTTCTACATGTACTGGGACCCATCAGAGAGTATCTTTATTTTTCATACCTAATTTGTTATTTAGTTTTGCAATTCAGCACCATCTTCGACCTAATGAGCTTAGTGCTTTGATGGCTGGTTAACTATTTGATGTGATAGCTATATTCTTGTTTTCAAATTGAACTAAGTTGCATGGATTTCAGTCTGGATGGTTCTGGCGTATTTTCCCATGGGTTCTTAGTATTTGGTTCCAAGACTGAACACTACCTCATACCTTCCCATATTATAGATCTGTCTGTGTAACTGCAGATGGTGTGTCTCAACAGAGGTCTTACCCCCTTTCTCATTCTTTTTTGGTACTTAGATTTTCTGGAAATTTTGCTTGAATTCAAAAACCCTGTTCATGTCATCCCTTGGTGCCTTGGGGGTTGTTACGCTAGCCTAAGATCAGTACTGAAAATCCTTAATGCCTTAAGCTGATTGATACTGAATATTCTGCCATCAACTTTCACTCATACACGGTATAGTTTTGTACAAACAGGCCTACATTTCTTCCATTAAACTGAAACAAGGGAAACAGAATAATAATCAAATATTTAAATCTTGATCTCTAGATAGGGTTAAAGGAGTAAGACTTTTTCTGCCTGTTAATTTGTCAAAGTGCCTTTGTCACCGAGCATGGCCTATTCTGAGTAGGATGAGAATGGATCCTATCCTCCGAGGCTCTTATTGTGCACTTGTCATTCAAAAGCCTCACTGCTGATACTGTATAATGTCTGCCTTTATTTTTTATATTTTTTCCTTGAAACCCCATAATTATTATTGCAGTTTTCAATAGTTTATGTGCTATGATGTTAAAAGTTTTATTGCTGCTATAAAGTCAATTATATCAAACTGTCTTCTAATTTTGAAAGATTAACAAGGAATGTAGAAAAATGATTTTTAAAAACTGTAAATATTACATTTTAAAATCCAATAGGCAAAATTTTAAAATGCAAAAATACACGATACATGTACAAATTCATTTATTATTTTTCAGATGCAGTTCATGCTTTTATTTAGCCGTCAGGGCAAACTGAGACTACAGAAATGGTACGTCGCTCACCCTGATAAGCTGAAAAAGAAAATAACAAGGGAACTCATAACAACTATTCTTAGTAGAAAGCCAAAAATGTGTAGCTTTTTAGAGTGGAAAGACTTGAAAATTGTGTACAAACGGTATGACTTTAGCTTATTTTATTTTAATAAAATGAAAAAAAACAAAAAAAAACACAATTTAATAAGTGCATTTTTTCCCCATTAGATATGCAAGTTTGTACTTTTGCTGTGCAATCGAGCAGGATGATAATGAACTTCTGACCCTCGAAATCATCCACAGATACGTTGAACTGCTTGACAAATATTTTGGAAGCGTAAGTTTAAATGTTGTTAAAACATAATTCCCTTTTTACGGTTTCCATTTTATTATCAAAACATGGTTTTACAGGTTTGCGAGCTTGATATAATATTCAATTTTGAGAAAGCTTATTTCATATTGGATGAGCTGTTGCTTGGAGGTGAGATACAAGAAACAAGTAAGAAAAACGTACTTAAAGCTATCGCTGCTCAGGATCTTCTTCAGGAGGTTAGTCATGGTGACACAGCTATTGAGCTTTAACAATCAAAAACTTATTTATCTAATTTTATTCCATTATTGCAAATTATTTACTAATCTTTGAAAAACAATTCTCCCTAGTCTTTTCTAATATCCATTAATTTAAATGTTACCCTTAAGTTTAATCTTTGTTTTGAACCAAATATTAATTTGTAAGATGATATTGCCCTCGGTATTTAAAAAAAAAGATCTTCTGCTTGTGTTTAGACCATTTTATAGATTTTGATGATGATTTTAATGAACACAAGTTTAAATTATTTCCTTAAATATACTTTAATTTTATGTTCCATCGAACTTAAGATCATTCAAAACAGTCTACTTTTTAACAATTGAAACGACAATCAAAAAAGAAAAGAGTCAATTATTTTATAACATCTTTTGGAATTTATTTCCTTCTTGGTGTTTTGTAGACTTGAATTAGTATTTTAATCTTAGTTACATTGATATTTTGTTTTAAAAACAAATGCATGTCTGATTGAAAATGTTCGAGGATTGATAAAGTAGCTAATATTATTGCATCAATTTGAAAATAAAAGCACTGAATGCTGCATGCCCTAGTCTCATATTCTGGACATTTGTTTTTTTTTTGTTTTAAGTCTTGTGTTTCTAGCGATTACGACAAGCGCGAACCTCATTAGTGAGTAAGCAAACTGTAAGTTGTATTAGATTAAACATTTATTTTCTTTTAAATTTCTTTTGTTTACCTTAATTCCTATATCTTGATTTTTCGTTTTGTTTACATTGTGTTCTCAAAGGTTGTCTTTTTGGAAAATGAACATACAAATTTTTTAATAGTTAATGAATTTCAAATTTGTTTAGGGGTGGTTACCACCCAAAAAATTTGTTTCACGGTAAACTAGAGCCAAACTTAATTTATCCAGTTCTAAATTGAAAATTTACATAATTTAACAAATAATTTTGTTAATAAATTGTGTGTTTATTTAATAAATCACTGTCACCTTTTTTTGTTTAAATTAGGTCTGCGAGATGATTGATAATTTCTGTTCATTCTGATCTTCTTATTCTCACTGCTTTTGTATGTTACATGCCATTTTCAACATTTGATCTGTGCGTTATTATTTTTTCTATAACAATTTTAGTTAAATCTTATGCCAGTGGTGACCCTTTCATATTTTACAAACATATAAAAAGGACAGATTTGAGAAAATAACACACAGACCAACCACATAAGGCAAAACTAGTGAGGTTAGGCAGGTCAGGATGCCCGAAGGTTATTAACCAACAAGTCATTAATCAACCCAAATTTTATTAATACAAAATGAACCTAGTTGAAAATGTAATTATTTCTTGTTTAAATGATAATGAAAATGGCTTTAAGTATAATACTTGCCATACTTATATTAAATATCTTAAAAATTGTATTTTGTGTTAGTTTGAGACTAGATATTTTTATTTATTATTAATTTTCGTGGAGATAATTTTGTTTAGGGCTTTTCTGTGCAAATGTTCTTGCTTACAAGTGAGTCTCATATCAGCTTTCATGAGACTTCCAATTCGCATTTGTATCGTCTGCTTGTAGGTCTTAATCGTTAATTTAATTTGTTAATTAGGTTTTGAAGTGTTAAAATCTATGGATGCCTTATTAAGAATTCAGGGTAGTGATACATGCAGCAGATTTGACAGATGCATTTATCTAAGAGTAAAACCAAATCTATGAGTTATCCATACTAGTAGAATTGTACTGACACAAGTAAGGGTCGGAATTGAACCCAAGTGGTTTAGACGACCCTACGAGTCAGTTTTGAAAACGCTTAACCCTAACACATAATTCATTTCTTTGAGCTTTTCATACCACCACCTGTTGACATTTTATTTTTATTTTATTGAGTTCCAAAACACAAAAAATAGTTATGGAACAATTAATCAGCAAGGTTGAAAAGCTTGTCGCTTTGTGGTACATGAAAACTCCTGAATACAATGATTGAATAAAAAAAATTCATTTTGAGAAAAACAAACTCTCGTTATCGGCACTTTCACTCATCTGCAGTTGTCCCTCAAGTTTTTTTCTTTTTTAGGCCCTTAATAATTTTTGCTCATTTGTTTCGATGTCGTGCAAAAGTGCATATCTGTGTTGATGTATATTTGTACATATTATTTTCCTGCATTTATGTATGTTTCCTGAAATTGTGGGTGTTTCTTATTATCCGTGGTGATGCTTGTTACTTACGATTTATATTTATATATTTTATTATCCTATTACCCCCTGCGGATAATGAGAGTCTACTATACTAAAAAAAAGAGAACTTAAAGAAATAGTGTGAAATTAATAATTGTTTAAAAAAAATTAGCAAATTTATTTTTTACTCATTCTCTCATAATTGCTGAAGTAATAAATGCTTCATTTAATTGCTGCGTGTCACAAGCCTGGAAAATCCAATAAACATTTAGGTTAAATGTGTAGTGATTAGTGTCCGTTAATCGATAATTATTCAGAAATTGTGAGATGCGGTCTGGTGTGATGTAGGTTTCAGAAAAACATTTTCTTTACCGTGCCAATGTTTTGATCTCAATAAAGATCGATAAAAAAGAAAATGTTTTTTTGAAACCTACATCACACCAGACCGCTTCTCACGATTTCTGAATAATTTAGGTTAAAACTGCTGTGTGTGTCAATAGCTTTATTTTTAAGTGGAGTAAGTGTTTTATTCAAACATTCGTATTTGTGTTGTCGTTTGGTTGTAAATCAACTATTAATTGGATATAAAAAAATAAAATATTGGTATTAATGGTTTTCATATATAATCATTGATTAACTTTGCATTTGGATATTTGTAGAATGTATTTTTTGTGGAAAGATTGTCAGTGTTTTATAAATTAAAAAATATAATTGTTTGTCAAAACTTTCTTAAACAACTTTAGAATTGTATTGTCAAAAGTTTATATCGTCGTGCCAACTGTAAAGTATCGCATGTGAAAAACCCTACTTTTCAGGAGGCTGATTAAATTGATTCAAATTCAAATCTGCTGAAAGATTTTTGTTTTTGTTTTCAACAATTTACAATTTTTTCACGCTTATCTACTGTATTGTATAATACATTTATGACTATTGCTATAACGTTTTAATTAATATATTAATACACTTTTGGTACGTTACAGTTGATAAATGGGTAGATTTTATTATATTAAATAGTAGAAAAACTAACGAATATACATTTAAAAGCTATTGTTTTTGAAAGAGGAAAATAAGTAAAACAATCTAAATTTGAAACCCCATTGAAACTATTGAACAGGGTTGTAGCAAGTCTTTTTTTCTTCTAAACAGAAATGCCGATCTTTTCTTTGTGAGGTTGGAAAGGATCCTTCATTCATCAAGAAATTCCAGAATCTTCTCTCTGAATTGAAAATGAAAAATAACTAAAATATATTCACTAGTCTTTTCTTTTCTGAGGCACCAACTGTGTAAATATTGACAACTGTTAACTAACAAATCTGCTATATTTGATACTTCACTAAAGTTTAGCTGTTGGTAAGAAGAGGAAGGGTAGTGTTAAATTATTGAATGTGGCAAATTCGATATTTTACAGTTGGCACGATGATATAAATATAAAATAATGTTAATCATTGAGTTAGCTATGAGTTAGGATTTTTAGTTTCTTTTTAAAGTTTATGCTTTGGGTTTTACTTCATCTTTTTTTTTTCTAATACAACATAAATTGAAACATCTATACTTATTGCATTAGATGTTATTCAGTTTAAACAAAAAGGTAAAAAAATATCAAAATTAAAAAAAAATGTCCAATGAACAGTGCTCATTAATTGCATGGCTGATGAAACTAATATTGCACGGTCATATGCCTGAATTTAAAATGTATCTCTTCTTATTTCTTCTCCATGATCCCTAACTTTATCTTCCCCAACCATTGTTTTTGTATTTCTCTTGTTTGGACTCCTCCAGAGTATGAGTGTTGGTTTTAGGAGGAGGCAATAGAAGGCGCACTACGTGAGATAGGACTCCTCTAAATAAAAGCTTGACATCCATCTCTCAACATAATTATTAGCATAGTTATTCGAGTTCTTCCTTTTAATTAGGATTAAGAAACTCATTTCAGGGGAAATATCAAAAAGATTTTTAAAATTATTTTTTATTAAATCATAGTATGTACCTGTGTATTTTAACTGAGTTAATGAATGCATGGAACAAAAAGAGAATAAAAAATTGTATTATCTCTTTATTTTGATTGCAAAATGATTGCTTACAAACAATCGACATCAATATTTCAACATTCATTTTGAATTATTTCAAAGCTTTATTGTTAATTAACAAAGTCTACAGCTTTTTTTAATTAAACGTTAAACTCATCTTTTGTTGTGATTAATGCTTATTGTAAAACAAACTTTAATACTCGTATCGCTAAACTCAAGATCTTGTGATGTCTCGTTGAAAAGAAATATTTATTATAATGCCTATCCTTGCTATTTTGATCTGTCAGACTCAACTTCTTCGGCGTTGGTCTTTGTGTCACAAAGCAGCAATGATAAGCAAACCAGGTTGATTGGCTATCGAAAAAATATTGCACTAAGATAATTATTTACAGATACTATTTTTTTGTACAAATGTGTACATACAAAAATATACAATTCTAGTTCACCTTTTGTATGGTAAACATACAGAGATGTACATAATCGTTAAAATAGTCTTGAAAGAATTTCTTTTTAAATTTAATGAGGTGGATGGTTTTTTATATTGCACCATGTATTTATAGTTTTCTATTGTTGCCTACATTGTTTCATATTATTATTATTAGAAGCTTAATTCTTAATTATCTTCTTGAAATTGAACATTAATTCCTTGGCCAGAATACAGTACTCATAGATAAATTTTTAAACATTAATGTGTCATTAGATTACAGTTTACTTTTTTAAGGAATTTTTTTGTAAAAGAACTAAGCACTGGCATCATAAGCATAAACTCTTGAGTTTTCTTTAGCATAATCTTTGAAATTTTAAAATTACAACCTTTTTCTTTGCCAATGAAGTCTCTTAAGATTTGTTATATTTAATTATTTAGTAAATGCTTTGTAAGTATGTTATGTACGTTTTATATTACAATATGAAATGTACTGTTGTTTAAAGTCAGTTTAAAATATTTATGGATTGATTGTAAATGTAAATTTTTAATTTCCACCTTACATTCTTTTATTATGTTGAACACTTCCCTGGTGTGTATATCATTCTTCTGGAAATAAACATAAAACAAATGATATCACCAATGTAAACATTAAGTGTAAAACATGCGGGCATCACTTGGTCTTTCATCACCACAGGCGCTAATTTTGCACGATTTGAGATATTTAGGGAACTTTGTTGATTTAAAGTATTCAGACTTTGCTGTGTTGTTTCAGATAACTTGCTGTCACCCGTCATTGTTTTCATTTGTTGAATAATGTGATATTCTTGCACAATGGTGTTTATTATGTGATGTATTGTGATAATAAAATGCCTAGGTTTTTTACTATTGTCAAATGTAGAGGGAGGGGGACAAAATGAGTGATTTATTCATTTCGGCGAGTAGTTCATTTTTGAGGGTTTTTTTTAAGGGAAGTTCAGTTTTTTAAGGGACCATTGAGACCATATTTACTCAGATATGACATCCATTCGTTAAAATAATTTGTTGAAGTGATAATGTCACGTTTTAATGAAAAGCTGTAGACTTTAATGGCACATTTTAAAATGCATCAAACACATGGTAACTTAGGCACAAAGCCGAGGCAAGAGAATCTTTTTCAATAGCACATTAGATCCACAGAAGAGCAATCTTGAATCTAGTCTTGAATATTTGATTTAGAGAATGGTTTTTTTGTTTGTTTAATCGAAGCACTTTCACACAATTCACAGTACTCGATTGCTGCATTTTATTTTTTAAAAATTTGATTTAATGAAATTAGTACGATCTATTAATCACCAATAGTATGTTTTTTTAAAAGTGATATTTAGCTTTTTTTTTAAATCACCAAAGAAGTAAAATCTTTTAAGTTCCTTGATAGAATCTCTCTTTATATGGGAAAAACATGTCATGATTGAAGTTTCAATTCAAATTGAATTCATTTTTTTTTTTTACAAAAATTAAATTTCTTTGTTATAAAAGTCCCCACATGACATGTTCCCCTTAAAAATAATAAATGGATATTTTGATCTTCTGTCTTAATTTTTAAAATTATAATTACAAAAGAAAATTGTATTTATAAAAATGTTATTTATTTTAATTTTATTTGTTTTTACAATCAGGGAAAGATTCTTGCCAGTTAAATCTCATTATAATCTATTGATATATTTGGTATTTATTTTTGTAAATTTGAAACAAATTTGCAATTATTTTATGTTAGTTATTTTTTTTACATAGAAATTTTATGCATTGATATACATTTATATGAATATATATTCAAATGATTATATTTTGTACTTTATAAAACTAATTAGTTTTCTTAAATAAAATACCTTGAAAATTGCCTGAGTTTTATTAGAATTCCAATTTAGCTTTTAACTTTTAATCTAATATATCTAGTTGTAAAATAATCTCTTTTTTTTAAATAAAAAAGTAAAGATTAACAATTTTGCTCATGAAAGATACATTTTCTTTATAATTAAATGGGATTTGTCAGTTAATAAAGTAAATAATTTATTCTTATATATTTTTTATACTTTCTAATTAATTCATAATTATTGTTTGTATTGTATCATTTTATGATTAGACTCAAAACTGCTTCAAAGTGTGATAATAGTCAATTATGCTTATCATTAATTAAATGTCGTGTTATACCTGAAAAATGAATGGACATTCCATATAAAAATTATTATAGTGCATTGAATGTAATTTATTTTATTGTGTGTTGTTTTTTTTGTTACTAATTTTAAATAAATTATGCCTCTAAGCAAAAGGAATAATTTTTCCACGCAAATTTGTATCCTTGGAAGACACATCTCATGCAATTCATAAATTAAAAGTTTTTCTTTGTATAGATTTTTTTTTAAACATGTGAATGTCATTTTTTGAATTGGCTAAAAAATAAAATTGCCTATTATATATTGTACAGTATCTAATTCATGCATTGTTAAAACCATATCACTAATTTTAAGAGAAAATATGGTTCAAATCGTTAATACCTTTTTTAAAATTAATCTTTGAATCAAAATATGTATGGGTCAAGTTTTTATCAAGTTAAAAGCCAACTGTGCCTTAGTAAATAAAAAGACACCTCTGTCAGCGCTGGGTATTATTTCCAAAAAAAGAAATTGCACGATAATTTCAGCATGCTTTTGATATGCTTCACACCAAGAGTATTTAAAATAATAATAATAATAATTCGAGTTGTTAAGTGTTCAGTTTTGGATAAGGGTCTACATGTTGAAATACGTTGAAGCACTTCTGTGACATTGGCAATAGGTACGTCTGTTATTTAAAATTTCGTCAACGGGTTGCAACATATAGGCCCTTTCAATATAATCACACTTGCTTTGCTTTTTAAGTTTGTTTCGCTTACAGTATGCATTTTTTATATTACGTCGATTTTTATGGTTAACATTTTTGGTTATTTATCATTGGTGCATATGTTGCAGCTCGAGCTTTGCAATAGTAGTTTGTAGATTTTTCTAAAAATTAAACTATGCAGTACTTAGAAATTATGCTATGCATAATTTACTTTAAAAAAAATCTTACATGTGATTTCATTTGTTAAACAGGAGGAGACACCGCAGGGTTTTTTTGACGATCATGGGCTTGGATAACAAAGTAAGATGGATGCGTTGAAGTCTCGGCTTCAATCGCTCCTACTTGATTAAACAAAGACAATTCACACGTTATCGGGCTTCCTTTTGTATACTTTTACTCGTAAAGAAAATATATTGGTGAATATGAAATTTCTAGAAATGACTTTGTACTTAATCTCTTTTTTTTCTTACTAAAATATTTTTCTGTTAAACTTACAAAAAACACATACTTTCACGTAGAAACTTCACTGATTGATTTTTTGTTGTTTTTAAGTTCAAAATCATTCCTTACAAATACGAGCATGAGTAAATCATGGAAAAAAGCCGCAAGTGGTAGAAGTGATTTTAGCAATTTTTTAAAAATGTTATCGAAAAAAGTGTTAATTGGTGGTGGTGTTTATGAACTAAAATAGTAACAGTTTTTAGGGATATTAACTGTGATATGCCTTACTTTTTACATAGCATCAATATAAACGAAATGTGCCATTTTTCTACTAAATTTACCATATCCTTTGATCGACGACGGTCTTGAAAGGGAAAATATTTCTGACGTTGAAATGTTAATAACAAGTGCAATCATCGTAGTTTATAATATGATTCTGATTTTTTTTTTGCCATAGCATTGTAATATACCATGTAATAAATCATAATGGCAATTGTTTTTTATTATAAGTTTTGCTGATTAAAATTAAAAACAAAACAAAAAAACATTCCATCTTAAACAGTATTCACAAACTGGAAATAATGTATTATAAAAAATAAAGTATTGTTAATGTATTTATTATTGATATGGTCAGTTATTAAGTGGTTAAAAATACCATAAATCCGACTGAATTTTAATTGGTATAATAAACATAATTGTCCTAACAATATATTTGTGTACCATAAATTTAAACAAAAATGTACTTAAGATTTAGAATAAATAATTTTAAAAAGATATATTTTTTACAATTATGTTCACTTGTAGTTAGGCACAGCTTAGAAAAGTATTTGTCATTTAGTCAATTTAATGAATAAAGTCTAATGCACTTTGATATAGTCATTAACGATACATAGTGTAACATAGAAGAAATATATGTATTGGACACACGTATTCACATTATTGGTAGAAAAATTTTAAGCACTTATTTGTAGGGCATTAAGTAAGTTGATAAATACGAATTTTAAGTCATTTCTTATTCAGACATTAGTCTGTAGTTTGATGTTGAATATATTTTTACAATAGTAATTAAGAAAGTTGAATATTATTTTATCCTTTGATTGTTAACTATTTGACTCGTGTATATAACAAATTTAAACTATTGTTACTTAATGTTTTCTTATAATCGTTCAACAAAATTTGTAAAAATGCACGTACATAGTTGGAAACTATATTGAACCTTAGCGAATTCAAATGACGAATGTCAGTATTCAGATATTTGGCTAGGAAAACTATACAATCATTAACTACAGAGAGCAATAACTACGACAAATTTTTGATTAAAAGTTTGCTCTTGTGTTTTTACTTATATCAATTTTTAATATAAAAGATATATATTACACCTAATGAATAATTCTAATATTATTACATATGTATTATTATCTAGTGTTTAATTATTAGTGTTGATTTTAATGTAAATACAATTATGAATCCTGTTTGTACTAAAGTTTAGAAATGTTTTAATAGATTAATAAAATTACATTTCACACTGATTATGATTATTTAATCTTATAAAACATTTTTTTTATGCAAATGTTTTTCTTTGTTATTATTTTCAAAAAATATATAATATATAGCTGAATTGTATTTCTTGTGAAACACTTGCTGGCATGTTAAATGAGATTTTTTCCCTTCATTTCCTCGCCTTATTTCTTCAGTTGGAAATGTTTCAACATCGTGCTAGATAATTTCACTGGCATGAGGTTGAAATACGATTAACTGAAAAATAAAAAAAAATGGTTAAAAAGAATGCAAAATCTGGAGTTGATCATAAGTAACTAAACTACCAGGTAACAAGAAAGTTCGTTGCAGTTTTTCATTTGTTACTGTTTTAATAGTGCTAATCCACATTTTTATTTACATAAGAAGATTAAATGTCCACATCATGTAATACCGAGAGGATAATGTGACAGTTTGTAAAGAAAGTGTCTTGAACAGTTCACTGTAAATTATAAACTATTTTCTTTCTCATGGCTTCAAAACCCATAATTATTGTATGAATTTAAGCTTGGTAATAGGCAGCTCATAAAATTTGCACAATGTTCGGTATGAAACGATAAGCGGGCTCACTCCCGAAAAGTGGTTCGTAAAGTTTACTTCTGGGAATGAGAGGGATTGAAGATGAACCGTAGACTGGAGGGAAACTATTAAACTTGATTTGAGTCAAATATGTCAGGAGCTCGCTGGATTGTTCAACGTAAGTGATGAAACTGTTCGCTCTAGCCTACATCGATTCGGGAAGATGTGGAAGCTGAGCAAAACGCTCGGTTCCTCATAAATTGACCGAAGGTAACAAGCTTCAGTGTTTAAACATTTGCAGTTCAATGCTTGTGCAGCACAAAGTAGATGTTTTTTGACCGGATCGTCATATGCGATAGAAAATCGATCCTGTACAGTAACAGTATGATTTATATGATTAGTAGAAAAAAAACACATCTTAAATGTAATAAAGCTATCAAAATTAAGCTGGGCTGGTCATATTGTGTGATGATGAAGAAGGGGAAAGTGCCAGCAAAAATAATGGATGGACAACTGGGCATGAGCAGAAAGGTTGGAAGTCCTAAGCTTAGAGGACTTGGTGGTACGAAACGATGCAAATATTATTCTAGGATCTCACAGCTGGAAGGAGTTTCAAATGACAGAAACTTCATTGCAGCACCCTTAAGATAATTAGAAAGGTCCTATTTTCTTCATCCTCAGATTTGTGTTAAACTAGCAACTAAATTTCTTATTTCTTATTTTCCATCTATGTCTGACTTTTTCCTTCCTTCTTCTTCATCTTTTTCCTAATTAGTAAGTTTGTTATAAACTTTTTATGTCATATTTTTACATCTGTTTTGGATTTAAACCTGTAACTGACTCTTCTGCTGATGCAACAAATTAGCAACTATGACACACCACTGGTTTTCTTCTATTAAAGCCTGTCGGACCAATGCTAACT